CTCTCTCTCTCTCTCTCTCTCTCTGGTCTGTAGAGAAAGAGGTTTTCTTTTTCATCCCCCCCCCGCCCCCCGGTGCTCAGCGTGCCCAGAAACCTGCTCTTGAGGGCTCTTTCCTCTCCCAGATAATTCCTTTGGAAGCTGTTCTGGTCCAGCTGCTGGCATTGAGTCAGGAGGCTTTCAGTCAAGTCGCCTTGTTGACGCCCGCGGGTCGGATGGGCACTGCCAGGCTTGACTGTGTTCTAGAGGAGGGGGGCAGGGAAAGGGTTGGGGTTGTGCCTGGCTTCCCCGTGCCCCCAAGTGACCCCCTCCTCCTCCCCCCCTGCAGGTGGATTCTCGACTCGTCCCTTCGTGCGGAGCGTCCAGCGCCAGAGCCTGTCTTCGCGCTCCTCGGTGACCAGCCCCCTGGCGGTGAGCGAGAACGGGATCCGCCCCTCGTGGTCCCTGTCGGCCAAGCTGCAGATACGCTCCAGCTCCCCCTCCCGCTTCCCGGGGGACTCCCCCGCCCACAGCCCGGCCTCCACCCTGGAGCGGATCGGGGAGTCCGCCGACACGGACAAGGTGGCCCCCTCCTGCTTCGGCAGCGGCCGGCGGGAGCACCGGACTACGGGCAGGGCCCCCCTGGCCGTCATGGAGGGGGTCTTCCGCGACGAGGCACCCCTGCAGAAGCCGCGGGGGCCCCCAGACCCCCACTGCAAGAAGAAGAGCTCCCCCCTCCCCGCGGACCAGAGCTGCTCCCCCCTCGACCCCTTCGACAACAACAACCAGATCGCCTTCGTGGACCAGAGCGACTCTGTGGAGAGCTCCCCCGTCAAGGAGGAGGAGAAGGGCTTCAGCGGGCGGGGCCCATCGTCCCCGGCCAAGGCGGACGGCCCCCCGCGAAAGGCGGCCACCGGCAAGGATGCCGCCGAGGCGGAGAGGAGCCTGAGGAGAGGAAGGACCCCCCTCCTATCCAGCACGGACTCCCTGGCCTCGCCCCAGGCTGCCGCCTCCCCCCCTCCACTTCCCCCCAAGACCTTGCCAAAGGTGTCCCGTTCGCGGAGCAAGCTGGACTCTTGCCGGGCCAGCGGGAGACACGGGTCCCCGGCCGCCAGGCACCGGCCGAAGGAGGCCGCCTCCAGGGCCCACGATGCCGCAGCCGCCTCTTCCGCCCAGCAGAAGCAGAAGCCCCTCTCCTCCTCCTCCTCCGTGCGAGGGGCCCCGGCTGGGAAGAGCAGGACTTCCGACCGCAGCCTCAGCCGGGAGGGTTCCAAGCTGAGCCTGGGCTCCTCCTCGGAGAAGGGCCCCCCGGCCTCCTCGCGCACAAGCTCCCCGCGGATCGGCCAGTCGAGGAGCAGCGAGGGGCAGGCGGCGGAGGGCAAGCACGTGCGCAGCTCCTCCATGGCCAGCCTGCGGTCGCCGTCCGCCGGGCCCCGCTCTGCCCTGAAGAGGGACAGCAAGTCGGAAGACAAGGGACTCTCCTTCTTCAAGTCCGCCTTGCGCCAGAAGGAGACGCGCCGCTCCGCCGACCTGGGCAAGACCACCATGCTCTCGAAGAAGGCGGCCTCCGGCTCCGCCAGGGCGGCCGGCAAGGGACTTCCGGAAGAGAAGCGGAAGCCGGAAAAGAGCAGCCCCCAGCCGGCCCGGGCGCCCTCTGGCCCCGCCACCAAGGAGGCCTCTCCCGCCAGACACTCCCTGCTGCTGGCCCGCAAGTCCAAGTCTTCCCCGGCGGAGGCCTCCCCAGCGCCCCCCGGCAAGCAGGCGGCCGCCTCCTCCTCGCGCAAGCCCCCCGCCTCGAAGTCTCCGTGAAGATATGCTGCACTGCAACCCGCCCGCGGGTGTTTGGTTTATCAACCGTCCCGTTGGAGCCTCTTCTGGTTTTGCTTTTCTGCTCATGTGCCTGACACGTGGGAGGAGACCAGGACCTCTCCCCTTCCTCCCTCCCTCCGTCCAAGCGCCTTCTGATTCCGCCAACATACCAAATAACTGCAGGCAGCCGCTGGCCACGGGGCCACCAAAGGATACTTCTCTGCCCCCCCCCCTCGGTGCAGACTCGGGACTCTGTACAGAATCCTTTTGGGGGGGCCCCGCTCACCCCCCCCCAAGGGCCGCTTTGGCGCATGTAAATGGCGAGCTGCGTAGGCCCGGGGGAGCTTCTTCGGGGCTGCCCCTAGGGGGAGGGCGGGAGCCTGGCTCTGTGAGCTACACAAGGAGGAGCTGCTAAGGGGGACTGTGGAAGGCCAGAGGGTGGCTTCGTTTTGTGGCGCCCCTCCCCCCCCCCCCCCACCCCCCCCGGCCACGCTCCCCTCTCCCAGGCTTCTCAAAGGGCAATATCTCAACGCTAATGTTGTGGTTTCTCAGGTAAATGTTCAGCCAGTACTGGGGAAGAGCAGAGGACTTTGAAGGAAAGGTGCATCCCCTCTGCGGGTGTCTGTGTGTGGGGCGCGGGGGGGGGGGGGGGGGGGGGGGATTGCTGTTGCTTCTGCGTTCTTGTTTCTCCGCTGTCCTTTTGGTCCGTCCTCCTGGCGGCCCTATCACTTTGGACATCTCACCTGGAGCGTCCACCCTGACCAGTGGCGCTCGTGCCTCTGCGGGCAACAGTGGTTCTGCGAGGTGGACAGGTAGAGCTTGCTGGAGAGAAGTGTCGTCCCCCCCCACTGGCCACGTGCTTTGCTGGGGGGGAGGAGGAGGGGGACTGGGAGGGGCCGTGGCCTCGGTCCCCCTCCCTCCCTCCACCTGGTGGTGGACCTTCCTCCGAGTATCCCCTGACCCAATGGCTCGGCTGGTCTTGAGCGGAGGCGTGAATCCTCAGTGCCGAGGCTGCCTGGGGTCTCGAGGTGGGCCCACAGCTGCAGGACCTTCACGGACCCTCCTCTTCTCTTCTGTCCAGAAGGGGCGAGTCCGACCTTTTGCCCGCATGAGCCGGATTCACACCCCAGGAGGCATTCCCCACCCCGTTAGGGTGACTTAGGAGGCAGATTCCAGGAAGTTTGTGTCACGGGTGCGCAGTTCCCGGGAACGTCTGCTGGTCAGCGGCACTCCTCGGTGTTCCTTTCCTCAGTCCCGGGGGACCAGCACCCCTCCTTGAGCACCTCTCTGTCTGTCTTCCAGTCGTGTTCGCGGATCGGTCTCATGTGGTTGAAGGCAGGGCAGCCCTCCGTGTTCCAGGCGCATGTAAGCCCTCCTGGCCTTGATTCTTCCTGGCGGGGCCAGTCGCCATTGGAATCCTGAGTGGGACCAGCCATTCCTCTCCCCCCCCACACCCCCCTAACTATGCAAGCTGCTCTCCGGGTAGGTCCGGCCGCCCTGTAGCCGAGGCCTGATGCAACCAGGGTGGGGCTGGGGTCCCCCGTCCCTCTGCAAAGCCGATGGGGGGGGGCATCCTTGGCTTCCTGTTTTGCACCCCAGTGTCCTTCCCTCCTTTACCGGCTTCTGGGCGGAGGGGTGGCGGCGGAGCCCTAAAACCACTCGAGTGTTGGAGGAGGCCCGACAGTTTTGTTAACGCGTGTTTGTATCGCTGTTTTTGTGTCGGAACAGAAAACAGCTTGTGTCCTCTCGCCCCCCCCCCCCGCACACAACGATCAGCGTTTCTTTTGGTCTTTGCACGACATTCCTGATCATGCTCTCCTCTCTGGAGATTTGCTGTTATTCGCTTGCTAGTCTGCAGAAGCTAGGGGGTGGGGGGGTGGACCAACGTGAGCGGAAAGTTTGGTTTTAATCAGTGGTGAGAATGCGTCCCCCCCCCCCCCCCCGTTAATTAAAAAATATCCATTAGCGTCGGGAGCTGGATTTGGCAGAATTAAGGGCAAAGCGGGAGCGCGGGAGCGCGTGCACACCATCAGCTGCTGTCGCTGTTGCATGGCAGGCGTCGCCCGAGCCAGTTTCGAAGGCGGAGGGTTCGAGTTCCTCCTTGCGCCCCGGACAGACCGATTCCCAGCAGCAGCAGAGAGATTGCTGGAGAGTTTGGAGTTCCGGCTGGCCTCTTGCGCCCTGGCCCGGCCGTACCTGGCACCTCCAGCCCCCAGAAGCCCCCCCTCCCGAGCTCTTCAGAGCAGTTATCTGAAGAGGCGGCCGGCACCTCCTGCCCCCAGAAGCCCCCCCCCCCCCACCTTCCGAGCAGTCTTCTTAAGAGGGGGGGGGGAAAAAAAGCCCCCTCACACCCCGCTCACCCCCCCCCCCCCCATCTTCAGAGCAGTCATCTGAAGATGCGGCGGACAAACCATTCTCAGCCCCGTTCCTGAAAACACTGGAATCGCTCCCTTGAAAGAGGAGCTGCAGCTTATGTTACTGAACACTACACTCTCTCTCTCTTTTCTCTCTCTTCTCTCTCTCTTTTCTCTCTCTCTGTTCTCTCTTTTCTCTCTCTTATCTCTCTTCTCTCTCTCTCTCTCTCTCTGGGCTGAACTGTTGTACCATAAAGGATTTTAATTTATTTTGAGGGCAAGTGCATGAGACTGTCTGACAAGGCCTTTTATTTATTTGTATGCACTTTTAATAATGCAGAATTTATATTTTTTATGTTTCAAAAGAAGAATTGTTTCCTTGCCGGAAGAGAGTTTGGATACAATGGGGGTGTACTGGATGATTAAAAGTTGGGGGGGAACGTAATAAAGTACAGTATGTTTATTACCGGGCCTGGGATCTGTCAGAGGGTGCTGGTGCTGTGGTTCCTTCTGGCCCCTCCCCCCCCCCG